GTTCCAAATTGAACATAGAAGATGTAGTTCTTAAATATTCGCGATATTCTGGTCGCAGTGATGAAATACATTTTAGGAATGGACATCATTTGGATAGCGACGAAGCAGATTTTTTTCAAAATTAGTGTTGTTGCCTCGGGATCCTTGTCACCAATCCGAATGCTTCAAATTGAATAAACAAAATGTAGTTTTTATAGGTTGATGACGTTCTGGACACAATGACGAAGTCAGTTCGTCGATCTGACGTCGTTTGATCAGCATCACACTTTAATTTCGGTTGTCGGTCATCACTTTTGATCGATCTCATCCGATTTGATTGCGAGGGGTCTCGACCAAGCAGAATTTGGCGTTCTGATCGCAATGACGCCGTCCGTTTAGCAATCAGAGGTCGTTTGACCTTTCAAGTGATGTTTGGTGCCAAGACATGTATCGCTTTATTCATCTGTTTGGGTCTTTTCTCGTGTGGTTTGAGGTATAGGGGTCAACATGTACGATTGCATATTTTGGTGCCAAAATGATGCCTTGAGTTGATTATGTTTTTGCATGCTAGTTAGATTTGCTCTAGCTTATGATTTTATAATTATTAATATCTTATTTAAGAAAGAGATGAACATCTCAATACTTATAAGAATGCATATAGTAAAACTCAGATTGATTATTTTTTTTTATAAAAAAATAAACTGTTTAGATTAAAAAGATTGTAAAGTTATTTTGAGTGAAAGTTTATATATCCATCATTGCTTACTAGTTTTAGACTTTAAGATGAAATGACATAGTATAAAAAATAAAATAAAATGTTATTTTAGGATTAGATGGGGGCATTTAAAACATTAATAAAAATATTTTTTGCGAGTAAAATTCTAGATCTTAAGATTTTATCTATGCATGAGGAAGTTATTATGTGGGAAAAAGTAGATGGTGATATTAAGAAAGTTGTAAAGGATATGCTTGGAGTATCGAAAGAAAAAGCTCCTTTTAATAAATATTGTTGGTTGTGAAATTAAAATGTTCAAGAAAAAATAAAAAATAAGAAACTTTATTGTAAAAATGGGTTTAGATGTAAAAACTCTGAATTTTGGTGAATATATAAAGTGGCCTTTGAGGAGTTTAAGAAAGTTATATGTGATGCAATAATTTTAGCATTTAATAATTGATATAATAGTTTAAATGTTGAGGGCGAAACATATATGTATAAGTTAGTCAAGTAAAGAGATACGTGTAGTAAAAATTTAATTCAAGTGAAGTGCATTAAAGATGAAGATCAAAAAGTGTTTTTACTAGAAGAGAATATTCAACAAAGATGAATGAGATATTTTGCTAAGCTTTTCAATGAAAATTGTGAGAATAAGATTGATTTTAGTAACCTCAACACCCAAAATGAAAATAGAGATTATTGTTTTTATAGGCGTATTAGTAAAATCGAAGTTAGAGATGCTTTAAAGAAAATAAAGTGGGGAAAAGCTATTGAACCTGATGATATTTCAATAGAGGTGTGAAAATGCTTAGGAGGTGAAGGAATTTCTTAGCTTATTAAACTTTTTAATATTATTTTGAGGATAAAAAAATGCTAGGTGAGTGGAGAATGAGTGTGTTGATTCCTTGTTTTAAGAATAAAGGTGATGCACAAGATTATGCGAATTATAGTTGAATTAACTTAATGTGTCATTCTTTAAAATCATGGGAGAGAGTTGTGGAGCATAGGTTACGACGAGATACTAATGTTTCTCGAAATTAATTTGGATTCATGCAGGGTAGGCTTATTATGGAAGCTGTACATTTATTGAGGGGTTTGATGGAGAAGCATAGAGAGAATAATGATGATTTACATATGATATTTTTTGATTTAGAGAAAACATATGATAAAGTTCTAAGAGAAGTGCTATGGAGAGTTCTAGAAAAGAATGGGGTTAATAATACTTATATTCAAGTCATTAAGGATATGTATGCAGGAGCTATTACTTGTGTTTAAAATCAAGGTGGTTTGACTAAGTATTTTCCTATTTCAATTGGCTTACATCAAGGATCATCCTTAAGCCCATATTAATTTGTTTTTGTTATGGATGCTTTTACTAGACATTTGCAAGAGGATGTATCCTGGTATATGCTTTTTGTTGATAAGAATGGAGAGGGAGTTAAAGATAAACTTGAATTATGGAGGTAAACCTTGGAATTTAAAGATTTTTTTTTTGAGTAGATCTAAAATCGAATACATGGAGTATAATTTTAGTATTGATAAATCTAGTTGGGGGATTGTGACTTTGGGCGATCAAGTCATTAATAAGAGTATACGTTTTAGATATCTCAGGTTTATTGTTCAGAGTGATGGTGAAATAGATGAGGTTCTGAGGATATTATTAGTTGACTTTAAGTTGGATGGTTGAAGTGGAGGAATGCATTGAGCTTATTGTGTGATAGAGAAGTACCCATCAAACTTAAAGGAAAATTCTATAAAATGGTAAGACCTGCAATGCTTTATGGCGCATAATGATAGCCATTAAAAGAGAAGCATAACATTAAGTTAAGTTTTATAGAGACGAGGATGCTCAGTTGGATGAGTGGCTTTACTCTTAGAGATGAGATACGAAACGAGCATATACGTGAAAAGGTTGTAGTAGCTCCAGTGGCTGATAAGATTAGATAGAGTTGCCTTAGATGATTTGGTCACATGAAACGTCGGTCTTCCGATGACCCGGTTTAGATGGTAGATATATTAGATTTGACTTATGTTAAGAAAGGTTGAGATAAACCTAGAAAGACCTGGTTAGAAAATATTAGAAATGACATTTCTTTATTAAATTTAAATGAGAATTTGTTTCTTAACATGACACAATCGAGAAAAAGGATTCACTTAGCCTACCTAGTGTGATAAAAGCTTAATGTTGTTGTTGTTATTGATGTAGGCTAGTAATCATACTATTTTCTTGCAAATGGCATCAGATCCTTCAAACAGAAAGAAGTTAAAGGCCAAATTTAATGAATTCTAAGATTTCCTGCCCATTTGTCAAGCATTTCAAGAAAACTAAAATATACATGTGATGTGTTGGAAAACATGTGTAGAAGAGGCATTTATGAACTCAAACTTGTTGATTCTTCTCCTGATATCTTATGCATGTCAAACTCATTTATCATTCTCCTTATATCTTAAGAACCACTTGTCTAAAATCAAATAGTTGATTGTTCTTGGCGTTAAAATTGTAAGTATCAAACAATCATCACACATAATGACATTTAGCGTGTGATTGATTTCATTTATGGAAACCCAGTTTGCAAGAAATGACATTGATTGAGTTTGCCTTCATTGTTCAAATCTACCCTACCTAAAATCTGCGTTTGTTGGCAGGATTCTCTTGCTCTAGGTATGTCTTTTTTTTGTTTGTCTTGATATTGCAATTGGGTTGTGTGTGGTTTAATCTCCATTTCATTGGGTGTGGATCCAATCTATAAGTTTGAAACTAGGGTAAGCGGAACATATTTTTGTGTGCATACATGTAGTTCAATTTTTTTCAAAAGCGCCAGGTGCAAGGTTGCATATTTTCTCCATGTTTGTGGTGTTAAAACACCATCATAGACCCTCATCCTGATAATGTAGGGTGCTCAAACAAGATAGTTATATGGATCATAAATTTGCTTCAATTATATGTAATACTTTCAGGAGTATAAGATATCAGCGTCATATTAAATGTAAAAAAAATGAATTTTAACTTCTACTGTGCTCCAAGTTCACAAATCTAATGACATTGATTATTGCAAACTAGTTTTAGTGCAACATTCATATGCAATAATCTAATCTTCGTTATAATGTATATCCATTCTCTATCACCACATCAATAGCCCTTTATCTCATATTTTATTTTTTTTACTAATGCTTCTCATCTTCAAGGTTTGGAACTGTAGAATTGAAGTTCTGGCATCTATATTTGATGAACTTGTTTCCAAGGACACATGGTTGTTTCTCCTACTCTTGATGCTTTATTCCTATCATTCATTGTCAAGATATAATCATAAAAAAGAAACTTATTTTTAACACTTGAAGTATTAGCGCACATTTCTTACATCAAGGCGAGTGTTTGCCTCACTGCTGGCGCTTTAAGACAAATGCTCGCAGCTCGTCTAAACTTGCTTCAGTAATGGCGCCCAACTAAGAGGTATGTGAGATATTATTCCATCATATTACCTTGCCCAAATTCCAAGGTGAGCCCCAAGCCCATCTTTAACAAAACTGACATATTTATTTATTTATGTTTTTCATTCCAAGATCTATAAGATGTATAATGATAATGTTTGCTACCTTTTGGTGGTGCAGCTGTGTTTTTTTTTTTTCTTATAACAAGTAAGAAGAACTAGGATTATTTTTGTGCGGTTCTTCCTTGTCCTCTATGTTTATTAGTTTATTGTTAAGTTTCTTATCATTCAACATGCCATGCCGTATGGTACTACCTTGTTCTTCAAGGAAGTGACTTCTTCTGGTATTACTATTTTTTTTTCTTTTTTATTATTTTTACATCCAATAATTTCTTCTGGTATTACTATATTCAATATATACATTGCCAAGTGATTGAACTTCACTATACTAACCACTTAACGCTAACTAGTGAAGTTTTCAAGGCTTCCAATTTAAAGATGATATTTGGTTTTTTTGTGCTGTAATTAGCTGCTGGTATATGTCATCAATTGCTTGGGCCATTGCATTTGTATTTTAGTTGATAACATAAAGAAATGTGTGAGTTATGTCCGCCTCTCTGATTGTGAGCATTCACCTTGCAATGGTTTTTTCATATGCCTAGATTGACTGTACTCGTTTATATGCAATTCATATCTTGTTCATGCATGCCTGCTTTTCAATGCATCTTCCATAAGAATTGGTGCATATATAATCAGATGAGCTTTCTGGCACCATTTTAAATGCTTTTAAAATTTCCAGAATAATCTTTCTTACCATTTATGGGTAATTGTATTTAATCAACACTTAAGTTGAATTTTTCTAATGAGGACCGTCACAGGTTGATGGTACATTTCATTCACCAGAGTGGCATGCTGCTCGATTGGCCAGCCTTAATAAATCCCACACAGTAACATGGGAAGAATTCAAAAGGAAACAGAAGGTAATGGGAAGAATCCAAAATATGTTATTACCTTTATTGAGTTTCAATCAGATTGAAAGATCATCTGCATCTTGCATATTTTCTAGGAGATTTGATCTCTTTGTCTGTATTTAGCTGTTACTTTATTTGCCTATTGTCAATTTAAAAAATTGATTTCTTACACATTTGATGGTATTTGAGTTTATTCTGAAATGATAATCTTATACACTCTAATCTTCAATATATTTTAGATCAGTAGACTCTTCTACCTCTCGTTGCAGAAGATATGTGGTGAGCTAGAAATTCTTGCAATAATTATGATAAATAGTAAAAAGCTAAGCACAAATAATCATATCTTAATGTTGCATCCTTAGGAAATTGCAGGAAGGCTGGATAATGTGTATGGTTTAAGCCCAACGACATACAGAGATTGTTATCATGTAGAAAATGTTTGATATATTTGCTACGAAACATTAGATATGGCACATTTGGGAAGTTAAAAGATGAATATCCTGCCAACAAGAAAATCTGAAAGTTTATACATCTTGAAATCTTAGGATATGAGTGTTGAGATGAACACGTTGGGATGAACACAATGATATTTTGAGTTCTGATGCAATTCTAGTTGTCTAATTTTTTTTAAGTTTTGTTTGATTTGATGTGTCTACAAAGATTTTTCCTATGAGAACTGGATGAGTAACATTGGAGTTGAGCTGTTTGATTGTATTAAATTCAGGCTAGTTTTATTTTTTATTTGGTAGCTTATATGGCTACATAGGTTTAGTGCTTGCTTTTTATTGTTTGTAGCCTAATAGGTGACTACCTTTGTCTATAAATAGGTAGCCATTGCTTGTAATAGGGGATTTGAAAATGAATAATATTTGAGTTCTTTTACTCATTTGTCTTGGGTTTCTTTACCCTGAAGGAGTTAAGGTGGTGATCCCCTCCCAAGGAGTTCTTGGGTTATGTGTGGGCTACAAGTTCTGGCAGCTCGTGTGTTGTCTTCGTCGCCGTGTCACCCCCCCTCACCGGCATCATTTCGTATCATAGCTGGCAAGTTACTGGCGTTCTTGTCTGTTGCCGTGTCGCATCCGTCGCCGGCATCATTGACCTTCACAAGAAGAAGCCATTAAGAACAGCAAAATCGGCCTCCCAAAAATTGGTTGTTGCTATTTTCTTTTTTACATCCATCCTTGACTCGTAATTTGTGGACCCGCAAGAACCAACTAGCGTTGATTAGCTATTGTGGAGTCGCAAGTCTTGCGTGAAGGTGCGGAGGCGGAAGGCCGCGTAAGCACGCTGGTCGGGCACAAGAAGCGGACAGACATGGTCCGAATGCCAGGCTAGACTTACAGGCACGATTGACATTGCTTGGTTCTTGGTTCATAGACATAAATAGATAAGCCAATAAAGCATTTGGCTTCTCCAGAAAGCCTCTAGGCCGACCATCCCAAGCGGACTCTATCCGGACATTCGCAAGCTTGGTGTGGTTCTTGAAATAAGAGAACGTGTTTTTCCTTCTTTAGTGTGAGTGTTCTAGACGTCATATTGATCGCAGAGAAAGAGCTATTTGGCTGTGGAACTGTCGTCGACCACTGATCGACTCCTCCGGAATTGAGGTCCTTCTTCCCCGACTTCGTCTTAACCATCCATTATTGCTGTCGTCGAACCTCTTCTTCTCCAGCAAGTTTCACTCCAAAAGATGTCACCTTGCCGGAATCTTCAGCGACCACTTCAAGAAGCTGAAATCGAAGATCTCCTACAAGAAATCGCTCGACTCAAACTATGATTGTCAAGAATTGAATGAAGGAAAAATTTGAGTCCCCTTACCTGAGACTTTAATGGCGTCCGGGGCAAGTATGCTGCCACGAAGGATTCAAGATCTCTCGTTTCAACTAAACCCTTAAGAGGACGAGAGCACTCAGATGATCAGATCTCTTCTACCCACGAAGATGTGTTTGAAGTGCCACCTTGTCAGTCTTCCAAACCACCCTCGACTGAGTTCAGATTCGAAGAATTTGAAGATCCGTTGCCAAAATCGTTGCCTTTGCCTATCTTTGATGAACCCGTGTACTATGACAACATGTTCGGTGGAGTTCTTGATCTTGATCAACCCATATATGATGATGATGCGAGCAAGATCTATGAAAGTTCAAACTTCGTGGGACAGACTTAGCATTTGCTTCGTCAACTTGGAATCAGGGAAGTTGGATTTGAGCACGTAGATTGGAACATCACTTATTCACAAGAAACGTTTGCTTCTATAATTTCTTTTATGGGCTCATATAATTTCAAGAATAGTGTATGGCGTGATGATGCATGGAAATAGAGACAGGACAACAATTTATCTTCAAAATATTCATCTCTAGCTTCAGGACTTCTCTCCATGGGATCTCAAATTGGTACAAGATCTCAAACATGCACCCTGAAGCCTCATGTATCTTCAATGCCCATCGCATCCACTTCATCAAGTTCCTTTAATGGTTTTGACAACCTTTTCCATGAAACACCTTCCATCAACAACACGTCACATAAACTCACAAATCAACATGAAGCTTTGACAGAAGCTCAAATCTTGTTGCCACCAAACAACGATGGGGTTCTCTCCAATTTCAAATGTCCAAGTAATATGCTTACCACCTACTTCAAATCTAACACACGGGCTAAAGATACCAGTTTGTTTTCTTGTATGGAGCATAAACCATTCCCTGGGTTAACCATGCCAGGCGTTTTCAACATGATTCCAACAACTTTTGATTCTTCTACTCCTCGGTCAGAAGCATTTTATGTTTGTCAGAATTCAACTTTGATGCATGACACAATTGATCAGATTGATGTCAAGTCCAATTCAACTCTTGAGGAGTGTCATTTGCATGTATTACTACGACTCCAGCTTATGTTGAAGTCTCTCTTAGATGGGGCGAATGACACCGGGTGGAAATATTCAGATGGGTTTAGCCATAAAACCCGCCTCCTTATGGCCAAATGGACATTTTCCTATGAGCCTGAAGTTCCTCCTACCCCTGTAGTATGACGCCGGAGTTGAGCTGTTTGATTGTATTAATTTCAGGATAGTTTTATTCCATTTGGTAGCTTATATGGCTACATAGGTTTAGTGCTTGCTTTTGATTATGTGTAGCCTAATATGTGACTACCTTTATCTATAAATAGGTAGCCATTGCTTGTAATAGGGGATTGGAAGATGAATAATATTTGAGTTCTTTTACTCATTTGTCTTGGGTTTTTGTATCCTGAAGGAGTTCAGGTGGTGATCCTCTCCGAAGGAGTTCTTGGGTTATACGTGGGCTGCGAGTTCCGGTGGCTCGCGTGTTGTCTCCGTCGTTGCGTCACCCCCCCTTCGCCAGCGTCAATGAGTTCTTAAGTGTTTTGTATACCTTGTTTGTTTTATTGCTGCAAGTTGCTTTGATTTAGCTCTTATTGGATTCCCTTGTGTAGCTAACTTCGAAACCCCTATTTTTAACACTTTAGTCCTCTATTATGCTCACATATACTTTTTTTGTGGGCTCCAAACATTTGCTCTTGGTGCTTTTGATAGAGTTTACATGTTTTTCGGGCCAAATTTTTAGAAGACAGATTATGTTGAAGATAAGACACTAATCTTAGATTTTGCCATCATTTTGTGGGGATTTTATGATTTGGTTTTAGGTTTCCCATAAACACAAGCCCCTATGAGTTAGTTACTCAATCCAATGATTAGAGAGAACTTTTGATTAAGACTAATTGTTAGAAGCACAATGCTTTGCCTATATTAGCAATAAATTTGATTTATGATTGAGATGTTTATCACCATATAATTCAAGTTGATGATGTGAAGAATGATGACGAAACAAATCAAGATATTATAGTTGATGCGGACATCCAACCGTCTATGCCAATCCAACGAGCTGAAGATCGACGACCGAGATCACTTTGTTTTATTTTCATTTATTAAGTGTATTTTAATTTAGTTTTGCAATTTCCCTTTTTTACCCTCTCGTCTTATATAAGCCCAAGGGGCAAATGTGTCTTTTAATTTCTCTTGAAGCCTATATATAGAGGCTCATTCTCTTGTATTAGGATGATGATTATGATGAATGAAAATTTCTACTTTTGATCTCTTTGTGAGTTCATATTTTCTTGATCTCTTGGTGAGTTCAACTCTCCTAGATCTCTGTGTGAGTTCTATGGAAAGCCCAAGGTGAGGGAAAACGCAATACCCGTCAATCTTTGGAAGAGTCCGAGGTTCGCGGTTCTTACGATCTCTTTGTGAGTTCGTTAGTTATCTCTATCTTTTTCATATATTCTTGTTCATCTTCTTTCTCCCCTCTTCATCCACCCAAGTCTTCCTCTAGCTCCACCTCCCCAAGCCGACGACTATCACCCACCCGATCGCCGGCCTCCTTCCCACGGCCTTCCCCACCCGATCGGCGGCACCTCCTCCCTCCTTTGGACCGCCGGCCACACTCATGATCCAAGTCATTATGACATTCAAATTGTCATAATGACTCCTTAACTTGGGTTTTGCAATAAAGGGAGAATCTAGCAATTTTGAATTCAAAATTTGAAATTCAAATTTGAGGTTCAAACTTTCCATATTTGCAAAAGTCTAAAAAGGAAAGTTTTCAAATTTTGAATCCAATCTAAATTCAATTTGGAGAGGACTCATTATTTTCCATCCTAATTGGCCAAGCTTGTTTTGGAAACTCATAAAACACTTACCACCATCCCCTCCCTCCTCTTCATGCCGCCGGCCACCATTAATGGGCTCTCCATTAATTCTCATTTAAAGCTCCCTATCTCTAATTAATTTGAATTCAAATTTCAAATTAGTTCCCTCCTTTACTCCCCCATTCATGGCATTAATTTCTTTGATTTGAATTTTAAAATTCAAATCAATTCCCTCCTAATTTAATTAAAACTGAAATTAAAATTCAGATTTTGATTAAATTCCTAATTGATTCCCTAATCTAAGGAGTTTTGTAGCAGGAATTAAATCCCTACCCATTAATTCATCTCTAGCC